ATTTTATAGTCTGTACCAAATAAGAATGCATATGATGGTGCACAAAAATCGGTAGGGAGGTCCAGGAGTCATTTGGATACGTCAATGTGATGCGCTCTTATTTGGTAAAAACTATAGTTTTTACTATTCAATAATTAATATACTGTGATTTTAATATTTCTTTAAAGTTATAAAAATTGTTATACAAGTACTAATCCTATATTTATGATCAATAAAATTATGTGCTACATAAAATAGTTTATAGTTAACTATAAGTTTAAAAAAAAAAAAAACTATAATTTTTAAATCAATAAGTACTTCTTCGCTATCTTAGAGGGTTAAAATAATATAAATAAAAGGTTGATTTAAGAAAAAAATATAGTGAGAAGCCTTAAAATTAATGATATCACTGAAAGTATAAAAACATAAAATCATAGGATCATACAGTAAAATTGTAAATACTTAATAAAACTGTTTAGTATGAAATATTGGAATGTAGTGTACAAAATGAAACAACCAATTAAGTCTATCTTTATAATTCTTAATAATATACTATTAACGTATAATTAGATTTATTTTAATTAAAGACTTTCATTTGATTCATTTTATTGAGATTTCAGTAACTATATTCTATTTAAGAATGAACCACTTTTGCGCACGCGTACTGATCTACCCACTTGTCTGACCCTTAAGCGAGAACTACGTGTACTTTTATAGGTCAGTTGAGTGGTTCATTGTTAAATGAAATAGAGTAGACTCTTATATCTTCTTTTTCTAAGATTAAAAAGACTTATGAAAAATTTGTTGACAATTACATTTGATAAACAATAGTTAATACAATTTAGGCACATAAAAATAAAATAATATATCCATAAGTAATAATACATTTTTAAAAATTCAATACTATTTTAAATAACTATTATAAATTTTATCAATGGAATAAACATATATCATGATATAAAAATAAGAGAGAAACATTATGTTAATCTATTATTTATTAGTTAAGTACTTGTTGTATGTGATTTTCTTTTTGAATGTGTAGTTGAGGAAGACTGTTTTGAATTCAAAAATGAATAAGTTCGAATGAT